ATCACTTAAATTGTGATGGCTTTCATTGTGAGAGATGCCTTTCAGGAAAAAAAGAGGTTTTTGGAGAGGGATACGAGTTTTGTATGTAGTGAATTTATGATATATTCAGATAAACGGAAAGAAAAATTCATAATTCCTTCATGATGTTGTCCATTCTCTAATTAAACTTTTCAATTTTTCTTTTAGATGAAATTTTATAATAGCGGAATTTAAGTTAGTTAGGTTTTATTATCATAAACATTAATCAAATTTTAATTTCTCTTTGCAGCACAAGAAGTTTCAGTATTTTTATCATTCAGGTGTAATACAGTAATGAGTTAAAATGCAGCCTTTCAGGATACATTTACACTATATTTGTAAAAGTTATTTTTATATTTTGGAGAAGTAAGAAGATATTGCTTTGTCTGTGAGGCTCTCTCACTGCCGTTGAGTTGGAACCAACTCACAGTGCCCCACTCCTTGGGTTTCTGAGGTGGTATCACTACGGAAGTAGATTACCCCATCTTCTTTCCAAGGAGTGGTTCGTGGGCTTGACCCACCAGCCGTCTGGTTAGCAGTCAGATGCATTAGGCACTACGCTACGAGAGCTCCTAAACCAACCAAAAACCAAACTATCTGTCGTCGAGTCGGATCAGACTCATAGCAACCCCTCCTTGGGTTTCCAAGGCAGTATCACTGCAGAAGTAGATTGCCCAGCCTTCCCTCCGAGGAGTAGCTGGTGGATTTGAACCACCAGGCTTCAGGTTAGCAGTCAAATGCCATAGGCACTAAGCCACCAGAGGTCCCACCAGAGCTCATGGTGGATGAAAAATATACTTTTGTTACCAGAAAGCCTGATGTTGTTCCTGCCATTTCTACCAGTAACCAGCAGGTGGTATCAAACAATCTTACATGCTTATTCTATTGTGATTTTTTTTGTGTGCCTTTTAGGTTTCTGATACTTTTTCGTAACTCGCTATGCCATATCCCCACCACAAACACCTGTATATAGGTCTTTCATGGGAATAAAGTTCTGTCAGAGGATTTTATTTTATTTTTCTGATTGAAATGTACTTTGACTTTACTTTCAAGATGATAACTTATTTTCTCATGCACTGAATTCCATTTTTAAAATAGAGGCACTGTTTTACTTTGTATACAGTAACTCACTTGTTCCATAAAACAGCTCACTTGGAAGCACTGTTTTTTAATCCCTACTCTGCAAATGAGGAAACTGAGGTGCAAAGAGGTGAAACATTGTGTCCAGTGTCACAAGATTAGAATTCAGGTCTTGGAGTCTCCAGTGTTAGCCTGTGCACTGAAACAACCTCCACTGATGTGACTTTTTTTCTTTCTAAAGCACACTTTCACTCAATTCCCAGCATTCTCATGTTAAAACACTATTTACTCAGCTGTTATAGATTGAAGTACTATTAATTATGTAAGGTTCTTGGCATCTACATCTTAAGGTAAGAAGTGTTATATGCAAAATATGTAATGTAAAAGTGGTAGCTGTATGCTAGATATTGTTCTTGTGTGAAAAAGTTCTATGTATTTCACACTCACACATGTACACACACAAATGTACACAAACACATACAGATATATGCGAAGAGCACTTTTTATTGCTTTTTTATTTTACTGAGAAAGAAACCTAAGCCTTCCAGAGAAGAAGTGAGTCATGGAGGTCATACAGAGGTCATAAGGGAAACAGCAGTGTGTTAAAGAAACACTGAGCGGAACACTCCTTTATGAAGTGCACATCTATGGGTAGAAACTTGTCTGGAGACAGGCATGTGGAAGGTTTGTGAGCTTTCCAGGTAAATGCACCACTTCTTTGTTTAACGTCTGACTCTATCTACTTAGAGTGCAATAAGACTAGGCTGGCTGCAGGGAACAGCAGGTAGAAAATCTGGCCCATGAGAGAGAATCTTCTTCCAGTGAGAAGGGAAAAAAAGCAGGGAGGGAAGCACAGAGAGAGGGAAGAAGGAAGGTATCTTCAATCTAAGTTAACTTTTTGGCAAGTTTTTAAAATTTAGTGAAAGAAAATAAAATTTGGATCAAATTCTTACTTGTACATAGAGGGACATATCCTCAAAGCAGATTCATATTGAAATCGCTTAACATTTTCTTCGTTTGAACGAATGAACTCAGGGGATGTGAACAGATTGGAATCCTCATACTTTGCTAGTGTAAAATGTAAAGTGGTGCAGTTGCTGTGGAAATAGTTTGGCATTTCTTTAAAAATTAAACAGAGTTACCATGTGATATAGAAATTCTATTCCTAATACTCAAGAGAATTAAAAACATATGTCCAAATAAAAACTTGTACTAATGTTCACAGCAGTATTATGTATACTAGTCAGAAGGTAAGAACAACCCAGATATCCAAATGGTTAAGCAAAATATGGTATATCCATAGAGGAGACATATTCAGCCATAGAAAGGCTTAAGAACTGATACATGCTACAGGTAGATCAAACGGGTAGTGCAATATTAAGGACTCAGATACTAACTGAAAGGTTGGCAGTGTGACTCTGCTTAGAGGCACCTTGGAAGAAAGGCTTGGTAGTCTACTTCTGAAAGAGCACAGCAATAGAAAACTCTCTGGAGTGTGTTCTACTCAGACAGACATGGTATAACATGAGTCAGAATCAACTCACCACCCCCTGGTTTTTGTTTCTGTTTTGACCTGCTACAACATGGAAGAACATTGAAAACATTATGCTAAGAAAATAAGATAGACATAAATGCAACATATTGTGTGATTTTATTTATAAAAAATGTCCAATATAGGCAAATCCATAGAGACTGAAGGTATATTAGTGGTTGTCAGGGACTGGTGAAAGGGAAAAGTTGGGAATGACAACTAACAGATGGGGTTTCCTTTTGAAGTGATTAAAATGTTCTTGAGTTAGATAGCATGTGATGGCTGCACAACATTGTGAACAGACTATACCCTTAGAAATGGTGACTTCTATGCTATTTAAATTTCATCTCAATAAAAATTACAACAAATTAAAAGTACTCAATAAAAATGAAAACATATGTCCATATATAGACAAGATAAGGTAGTCTGCTTCCATACAGATTTATAGCCTTTGAAACCCTATCAGGCAGTTCTACTCTGTCCTGTAGGGTCACTGTGAGTCATAATTGACGCCATGGCACTGGGTTTGGTTTCTTCATTATGCTGTATGCATATATGTGTGTGTGTGCAAACATGTCTGCCTTATATTCAGTTTATTTATTCTGTATCAGAGTCTCAAAAGAAAACACCTTACTTCTCTAAACTTGGAACAGTTTGTTACATTCACCTTCTGTAAACATTTTTAGTATTGACTCAGCAGCATGTAAACTAAATTTACTTTTTTTTACCTTTATCCCTACTACTACTATCACATTCCTAAATGTATTCATTCCTGATTCAATACAATTATTGCTACTTTTGAATCACTGTCTGTATTGTAAGGAGTTCTTAAGTGATGCAAATGGATTGTGCTAGCTGACTAACCTAAACATTGTCAGTTCCAACTCCCTGATCAGTGCCCAGGAAGATAGGCCTAGCAAGCTGCTTTGGTAAATTTTACATCTCAGAAACCCTGTAAAGCACAGTTCTGTTCTGTAACCAAGGCTCAGAGAGTTGTAGATCCCAGGTGTTTCTTGTGTATACACTTGGGGATCTGGTTACAGTGTAGATTCTGATTCAGTATATCAGGGGTGGAAATGCAAATTCTCAGCAGGGGTTTGAACTGGACCAAGAGGTTCAAAGCCCTGTCTGTAACATATGTAAATCACCATGAGTTGGAATTGGCTCTTGGGCAATGGAATAAACTGCATTGTAGGTAAGGAAAAGAAAAAAAAAAAAAAAA